TTCACACATTACTTTATGTGTTAATCAAAGTAATCAATTCATTCGGACTTTGTTCTCATTTGGTTAGGACAAATGTCTTTTCTCACTCCAATTAGCAAAATTTTTCAAATTTTTTTACTCAATAAGATGATCAGGTCCATTAAGTATTGTATAGTGCCTGCTCTGAAGGATTGCATTTTCATGCTAGGCCAACCCTTGGCACAAAAGGGTCCCCCAATAGGACATGCATTCGAATTACTTTAATTTTTACTAAATCGTGTCCTTTTTTTTCTTTTTTCTTTTTTGTCAGCAGTTAATCAAAAGGGGAATCTAAATAGGGTTTTTCCTAAATTTTCAAGTAATTGCAAACATAGCTACACGAAGAAGCCCCATCATTACACGATCGCATAGCCGAGCTTCAAAAAATAGTGTAAACATGAGTATGCATGGTCTATAGTGACTCCCAACTTGTCGTGTGCCAGATACTAGGTGAGTATGAGGCCAGAGAACAGGTAATGCATCGCTACCTCTCCAAGGTCCACCAGTTGATGGCACACTTCGAGTCTTTTGAAATCCAAAAGATACCGCGGTCGCTGTAGACACCAAATTTTTGGTGTAATTTCGTTTACTGTTTATTTTTAGTTTATTTATTTGTTGTGTTAGTTTTATTCGATTTTTAGTTTTTAGTTTCTAGTTTTATTTTTATTTTTATTTTTAAGTTTTTAGCATAGAATTGCTTGGGGAAAAGAAAAGAAAAGAGAAATGATGAAAAATTGAAAAATGAAAAAGGAAAAAGAAGAAAAGAAAGAAAGAAAATTAGCATGTCATTTTATCTTAATTAGCTTTTCTGCATTTATTTGTTATTATTTATCATTAGGAAATTAGCTATTTATATTATACTTTTACAAAAAATAAAAAAAATAAAAAAAAAATAAAGGGGACCACGCGACAGCATTTTCGCAGCTTGCAAGAGAGGACCTGGGCGGTCCCTTGGGCTGCAAAATATGAGAGAAAGGACTGAGGTTTACGGCGGAGGGTCTGATATAAATAGAAAAGAAGAAGGCAGCCGCAAGAAAAAGGTTTCGGTGGGGCTAAGAGCCGGAAAGAAAACAGCAAAACAGGGGAAGTGAAGGGGAGGCTTTGGGAGTTTGGGAATAGAACAAGAAGAAGAGAGATTCGGAGCAGGGAAAGGGGCGACGGGCTAGGCTTAGACAGAGAGAAAATTATCGGCGAAAGGAGAAACGAGAGCCAGGAGCAAAAAGAAAGCAACACAGAAAAACAGAACAACAAGAGAAAACAGGAGGAAGAAACCGAACAAAGAAATAAGCTCGGCTGGGGAAGAAAGGAGAGCTAGGGGAAGGAATCTGAAGACAAAGAAAAAGCAGAGGGAAAAGCTTCGGCAGGCAGCAACAAAGGAGACAACAAAAACAGAAAAACTGGGCAAATGAAGGGAAATCGAAAAGGGTTGGAATCAATCAAAGGGAAGCTTCGGGCGGACAGAAAGAAAGCAGAGGGGTCCGAGCGAGGAAGAAAGAAATCTGGAATAAGAAGCGGGCCTAGCAAGAGAGAAGAAACAGAGGTGGCAGACGAGGCGAAAACAGAGCAAAAGAAAGCAAAAGGGAGGGCCGCAACTCCAGCCGGAATCAGCCACTGCCACCGTCAATCCATCACCGCCGCCTGCAAATTCTTCACCAAGGAAGCAGTTAAGGTCATTCTTTCCCTTGAATTTCAGTTGGCTTTTCAAGCACAAATGATGAAAAATTCTAACCCCCAAGCACGTCTCTTATAAATCTGTTGTTGCAATTTCTTGCCGGTTGTCTGCGACTTCGAGCGTATACACTCTACGTGGTTGAATGGACTGTAGATTCATCACTTTGTGTGTTGTCTGATAAATTTGTGGGGCTGAATACGGTTCCAATTAAACAAAAATCTGTGATTTTTCTGCTGCCCACATGTTGTTCGATGAAATGCCCAAACGAAAATGCTACTAGAAAGTTGATTTCATTTCTCTGTCGTTGCCTGTTCGCCCATTTGGGTTCTCATTTGATCTGCAATGACTGGCTTCCCAAAGTGAAGTTGTGTGAATGTTGAAGTTTTAGGGGGTTTTGGGAATGAATTTGTTAGTTTTGGCTTGGAATTGTGAGCGTTGCTTGAACAATCTATGAAAATGGCAGCTGAGGAAATTGTAAAAAACCAACGAAGAAGATGAAGTTCCGTAGCTTGCTTGAAAGTAATTCTGAAAAATTGCAAATGAAACCTTCATGTTCTGCCTAATTCCACTGTGACCCAAAATCTGGAATTTGAACTAATTTCACCCTTTTTGAAGTTTAATCTACTTTTTACATGTTTTATGTGATTTTTTTTGGGATAGATTAATGCTGAGATTTAATGCATAAACAGATTTTTGTGTTTTTCTTAGTTGAGTTTTTTGTCTTGTTGGATTTTCATAAAACAAAATTAGGTTTGGGTTGGACTTATTGTTTGGGTTTGATAAGTGGATTGATGATTTGTTTTTCTGGGTTGTTGACATGGGTTAAGGGATAAAACCTACACATATTTTTAGTTGGACTTTGCTTGGACTTAAGTTAGGCTAGCCCGTGGGTTTTGCTTGGGCTTCGGTTGGGCTAAGAGGGGTTTTGGCCCAAGCAATGTAATAAAATGGCCCATTCCTTTTGTTTTGGATTTCCGTTGGGCCGGGAAATTTTGGCCCAAACAAATAAAGGAAATGGCCCAATGGCTTGGTCCATTAAGAAACCAGAAAATATTTTTGCAAATCAGTCCCTGAATTTCTCCTTAACTGTATTGTGGCCCTGGACATTTTCAACTTCTTTCAATTCGGTCCTTAATTTAATTTCAATTAGGTCCCGGAACTTTATTTGTCTTTAATTTTGACCCCAAAACTTTGTTCATTTTTGCAATTAAGTCCCTTCTTCTTTTGACTTCTTAAATGTGGGTTGTTGACATGATTCAATTGATGCAATTCATGCTTATTTTTTATCCTTTGTGATTATTTGCCAAATAAATTGGTGCCTTGACCTTTTTATTGTTTTGAAGCTAATATCTCATTTACTCGATTTCCATTTTAAGGGAGGTACACCCTAATCCCTTCTTTGCACTTCATTTTTTCCTACGTGCTCCTACGTGTTATGTGAATATGCATGTCTACTTCGCTTTACTTGCTTCCCTTTAATTCCTTGCGTTTATTTCATTTACTTTACTTTTATTTAAGTTATTCATTATGGGGTATGTGTACACCTCTTGGCTTGTAATAGATAGGGCTTGGCGAGCTTTCTTGTCCATTTTCCCTTTCCCCCCTTGTCTAAGGTATTCATTATGGGGTATGTGTACACCTCTTGGCTTGTAATAGATAGGGCTTGGAGGAGCATTCGATGAAGGCCTATCGAAGACGTGTGCCTAGCTAGCAAATGTAATAGTTAGGGCTTTAATTGCCTTATGTGTCTTGCATGCTTAGTTGTTACATGTTAATTTGCTTTGTTAGGGCCTTGCATCTAGTCGAGCATGCTAAATGTTATGTGCTACGTGTTTACGAGTGTTTGGCATGTCTACTCGCTTTCCATAACCATGAATGAATGTGATGGATGAATGTACGTCACCACACTAGTCCAATGCTAGTTGTGGCTCATTATTTCATTAGGAATTCATAGATGGGCTAGTCCAACGCTAGACCCTTAGGATTTCCCTTTCGATAGTGCATATTTGCATGTTCACTACATGTCATGCATTTTTCTTAGTTTTATCATTTGGCATGCTCCTCGAACCCCTTTTCCCCTCATTTTAGGATTTTTGCATCTCATACTAGTTATAGGGTTCATTTGCCTGGAGAGTCCCCTTAAATATGGGATATAGACGAGTGTGGCTTTTTTCTAAAGCCTTAGCACGCTTGTATCCTCTCTATAAAAGGGCAAATTGAGTCACAATTTAGGTCTCCCCGTACCAAATATGCATGAATTCCCTAGGCTCATGCATTCTCAATCCACTCTATCATCACACTTTCACTTTTGTCTCATTTGCACACATGCACCTTTTTATCACTTTCACTTGCACACGAACACTTTTTTATCTTCACTTGCACACGAACACTTTTTTCTTCACTCGCACACGAGTACTTTCATCTTCATTTGCACACCGACACTTTCGCACTTTTCTTTAAATTGCATACATGCATTTTTGCCCACTTGCACTTGGAGTATATCAAAGACATTTGCACACCTCCACTTATATAGTATTTTTATCAATCTTCCCACTTCACAAACTCACATTTTCACATAGCATGCATTCCACTCATTTTTACGTCATTTAGGATTACATGTGACCTCTCCAAAGGATCATTATTGGGCTTCACAATTAATGTGATTGGCACCACTCAACCTTTGAAGAGAAATTTCCCCCATGTCCCCCTAGGTCTAGGCTTTTGCATTCATATAGACATATCCAACACGCGATACATACCTTGGGTAGAAAAATTAGGAAAAATTGGTTTAAGTCACGCAACTAGCCTTGGCTAGGTCGAAGGGGTGCCTTGGATTTTTATCCTTGCCTTCCCCTTCGTCAAATGTGACCCCCGATCCCTCTTTTGGTTACGTAGACCCAAAAAGTTCTTTAAAAGGGTTTATTTACTTTTTTCATTCAAAAACAAAAAATCATTTTTGGGTGACTTGGTACACCCTAACTCGATACCAAGTGGCGACTCCATTTTCATTAAAAAAAACCCTTTTTGAACTTCACTTGGCCAAATCGTCGCATTCTTAAGTCCCATGGCCTTTTACTTTTCATTTCGCACACGTTCACATGTATATCACACACACACTCACACCACACACCACACATCCACACATTCAAAAAGTGGGGCGCGACAGTCGCAGAACAAGCGGGCCGACGCCCTGTCTCGACTTGCTTCTACCTCGTTTTCTGACTTGAACAATACGGTTCTTGTGGAAGTCTTAGTCGAACCGGGATACCTAGGAGAAGTCGTGTATCCCGTCTACCCGGGGGACACCTGGATGGGCCCCTTGATTCGATTTCTCAGTCGGGGGCAGCTCCCCGATGACCGAGCTGAATCGAGAAAGCTTCAGCGTAAAGCAGCCCGGTACGCCCTCCGACAGAATCTCTTGTACAAGAGATCCTACCTCGGCCCGTGGCTGCGGTGTATTACATCAGAAAAGGGCGAAAGGATCCTTCAAGATATACACGAAGGACTTTGTGGTACTCACGTCGGCTATAGGATGTTTGTCAAAAAGGCTTTGTTGCTTGAGTATTTCTGGCCCACCATGAAGATAGATACCCAGATCATAGTCCTTAGCTGTCCCTCTTGCCAGCACCGCGCCCCTGAGCACCACCAGCCGACCAACTTCATGATCCCCATCACCTCGCCGTGGCCGTTTGAACAATAGGGGACTGATATAATCGGTCCATTCCCCAGAGCCCCAGGCAATTATGCCTACGTGGTGGTGGCGGTAGATTACTTCACCAAATGGGTCGAGGCCGAGCCTCTGAGAAGCATCACTGGGTCAGCGGTTCGAAAATTCTTCTGGAAGAGCGTGATTTGTCACTTCGGCCTATCACGGGTGATCATCTCGGATAACGGCAGGCAGTTTGTTGATAATCCTTTCTAGGCGTGGTGCGAAAACCTTAGGATCAAACAACATTTCACTTCGGTTGGACACCCCCAGGCCAATGGACAGGCCGAAAACTTCAACCGCACTCTCCTTCATGGCCTCAAAACCAGGCTACATCGAGTTGGATCATCATAGATAGAAGAACTCCCCAGCGTGTTGTGGTCCGGCCGAGGTCAGCAACCCAAGAGACCCCGTTCTCTCTAACTTATGGGTCTGAAGCTGTCGTCCCAGCCGAGTTCATCACTCCGAGCCCACGAATGGCAGCATATACCGCCGAAGTTAATGAAGAAGAACGGCGAGTTGACCTCGATCTCGCCGAAGAAAAGTGTGATATGGCAGCAGCCAAAGTCGCTCTTTATAAAAATATCCTAGCTAGCTACTATAATGCTCGGGTCAGACACCTGCAATTCAATTTGGGAGACCATGTGTTCCGGAAGAATTCAGTCAGCCGAGCTGAACCTCAGGGAAAACTTAGCCCTAAGTGGGAGGGACCCTATCGTGTTGTCGAGTCCAGCCAAAACAGATATTGTAAATTAGCGTACCGGGATAGTTCTCGGGTGCCTCGAATTTGGCATGCTGAAAACCTCAAATTGCATTACTCTTGAGGGGTACGTGCTTTTAATTTTCAGTTCTTGAGTTATTTCTCACTTAGTCTCATTTTATTTCAAGTGAAAAATAAGGGGACAAAGCAGCAATAAAAAGGAAAACCGAAAATCGAGCTCAATTAAAAAGAAGGCAAATTCAGTTGTATTGAGGCACAAAAAGTAGAAGACCGAGGTCCGGAATGCTCCTAAGCATCCACGACCTCGGCCCTCAGGTACAAAAAGAAATGCTTCTAAGCATTCCCTGCCCCGGAGCCTTGTTATCCCATGGTCTCTCTCCCCACCTCGGCGTCTTGCTGTCCTTCAGCCTCTCCGTCGGTCTTGTCCCCTTCGAGGCCATCACCATCTAAGTCAAACTCTTGAAGCCACTTGTTGAACTCCGTCCGGACCTCGGTTAGGTCTCTTCAGGTCTGGATGCCTTCGGCCATGCGGTCACATAGCTCTTTGGCATTCTCATTGTAGTTCGGCGCATCCTGGAGAGACTCCAGCTGTTCAGAAGAGAGGAAGGGCGTCGCGTCATTGACCGCCGTGGTGTAACCAAACATGAAGCTTGGCAGCGTCAGTTCGCCGAGGTCGCGGGTGAAAGATTCCGACTTGCGGAAGGCTTCCAAAGCCGACATCCCGGCCATCTCTATTGCTTTTTTGGATGACTGATCCTCTTGGGTTCTTCTTTCTTTTTCTTCACCGAGGGCCATTATCAAAGAGTTCTTTGTTACCTCGGCCCGGTTTCTGGCCGCCTCAGCCTTATCTCGCTCCAGCTCGATGGTTCTTAGTTTTTCTTCTAGCTCAGCAATCTTCTTCTAAAGCTCGGAGGGCGGCTCATAAGTCTCCATTATATTTCCATAACGTTGAATCATCTCAGCGAAAAAGGCCGTGGTAGATGCCCAGGAGACTGAGGCACTTTGCATCAGCTCGCCAGGGGTGAGCTTCCTGGCATAAGTGTTGTCCCGCGGCAGCACTGAATGCACGAGGAGTTCCTGTGCAACCAGGGGATTTTTGCAGCGGTCATTGACGTTGATGTTCCACTCTGGGCACCACTATGCTCCGGAGTGCCTCTTGTCCTCCTCGACCTCTTGAGCAGGCACGTGGTGGAGATTGAACAACGAGGACCCCGTGACGAGATGATCTGGAAAAGGTGTTACACCCTGGCCCCGGGGTGGAGAGGCTATTGTTATTCCTCGAATGGGGACCCCCACCAGAATGGGCGAGGCTCGGGAGCCCCCTGGAGTAGCCGAGGTGCGTGAGCCTTCCCCTACGATCACCACGGGAGGTTCACGGCTCGCCGTTGTCGCGGCAGCCTTCTTGGCTGGCCTGGTGGAGGGCTCGGCAGTGTCCTTGCGTTTCTTTGGTCTTTTGGCCACCTCGGCTGCCGTTCCGGAGGTTATCAAGTCAAAAACTCTCGTCACTGCAAAGTACGAAAGGAGAGTTAGTTAGAATCAAGGAAAAACAAACAAAATAGGGAATGGAAAAGTACAAGGTTTCTGAAGCCTAGAGGAGAAGAAGACGGGATGATCCGAGCTGATAAAAGCTCGGCTGATTCCGCCGTCAACAAGAACTGCCTCGGGAAAGTCCCAGCAGTTGATCCTGAGACCCGACCCCGTCAGCTTCTTGAAGTTGCCCTCCTCCAGTTTTTCCGGAGATGTCTCTTTGACCGGGGTGGGAGGCCTCCACCAGAATCCTCTGGGGAAATCCTCAGCTGGAACGAAGATGAAGTTTCCCTTCCACTCCTTTATCGAAGTGGGGGCATTCACCACCAACTTCGGGATCTTGTTCCCGAAGTAAAACCATCGTTTTTCGCTTCCACTGTTTTTGAGCGAGTAGCACCGGCGGAAGAGGTTGACAGTGGGGTCTATTTCCTGATGTCGGGAGAGCAGTTGAAAGCCGACGAGAACGCGAATGGCTTTGGGGATGAGTTGAGTGATTCTCACCCCCCAATACCTCAAGCAGTCCTGGAGGAACCTTGTGGTGGGCATCCTGAGCCCGGCCTCCAATTGATCCACATAAATAGCCACTCTACCCCTTGGTGGTAGTGCGGCTGATTGATTTGGCCGAGGCGGATAGAGGCTGTAGTTCCTACTCCAGGGATATCGGCGAACCACCTCGGCTACCAGAGTTTGATTCATGATGCTGCTAAAGGTAGGCATTTGGCCGTAGTTGAGAGCAGATAGATCCGGAGGGGTGGCCGGCTCTTGCACATCTTCATCCCTGGGAACCTCGTCGCCAAGATCGTCGTTATAGAGGACCTCAGCTTCGACCTCTATCTCTTTGTCCTGCTCTTGGAGTGACCCGGACTGGTGGGACGCTCCGGCACCCTCTTTCCTCGGTTCGGAGGCAGTCCTCTCCTCGGAGGGGTCGGGCCTCTCTGCGTCGGTGAAGTCGGGCCTCACTGTCTCTTTGTGTGTGCGAGCTGTCCTAGCCATTAGTAAAGAAAGAAAGTAGACTTACTCAGAAGATGCAGTTTAGGAAATGGCCGAAGTGGAAAGACAAACGGAAACGAAGCTCTGGGGTGATTTTAGATTTCTGGTAAAAAGTGAAACGGTAAAAAGGGACTCCTATTTATAGGCTAACGGGGGAAAGATGAAGAGGCGGTACCTTTGGGATTCTCGAGGGCGCGTTCTCTCTCCTCATTAATGAAAAAATTGTTCACCTGCCTGCTGATTTTGCGCTTATTCATGAACCTGCCATTAAAGCTGACAACCGTCATTTCGCTTCTCCCCCAGTCCCATCCACGCGGTCATAACGTATTAGTGTTCCGTGTCCTACACACTTGTCAGTCTCGGGAAGTAACGATCTCGAGAAACAACGATCTCGCCCTTTCCGAAACCTGGGAAGCTTAGTGAGGATGGTCGTTTCGGTCCGGATAGACTGGGGCCGCACCTTGTGATTTTCCTAGAAGGGCTGCCTCGGCAATCTATTTGCTGAGGTGACTTCGACCCATTCGTCACCTCGGCTAGGACCTCCCGTCATAGAGCCGAAGTGATGATTAAGTGTCTGACAACCCCAAAAGGGTGGGGTGTGACTTCTGACACATCTGACACCTGACAGAAAGCTGCTCTGATACATGCGCCGCTTGACTCTGGCAGCTGTTCCGGCGCGCCTTTTCACAGGAACCAATCAAATCAACTTGATACGTTGTCCATATCAGATCTCTAGGGACCTGTACCAGCCGTCCCTCTCTCCTGTTCATCTCCTATAAATACCCAACGTTTCCACTGAGAAAGGGGATGATCAATTGCTGGTAAAGCAAGCTATATTAATCTTCTTAACCATTAAATTACTTCCTCAGTCCCGAACTAACTTAAGCTTCGGAGCTATACTGGGGGATTGAACCCAATTTCTAACTTGAACAGGTGACCTCGGAATCGCGACTTCTCTAAGCTAGAGCACTTACAACTCGCGATTCACTCAAGCAGGTCCAAAAAAGACCTCTTCACAGAGCTTCACGGCGGCGGTAGCTCTAAGGATCAAGCAGAGAGGAGGGTGCGTTCCAGCAGTGAAACAGGTAATCTCTAATCCTTTTTCTTGTTCGCTTCAAGCTCTAAACAGAACCAAATCTGTTAAGCTGAAACCTGGTTTTGGTTCATTTGTTGGGTCTTTGCTAAACCAATAGGCATCTATGTTGTGTCTGATTTGGTTGGAACTGAATGCTCATGGTTGCCGTTTTCTCGTTGTTCCTCCCTCTTTTACTCCCGTTCATTCTTTGACCAAGGCTTTGTTCCTTTTTCTGTCAACTTGATAGCTTAGTCGAGTCTCTTTTCGGTCACTATGCTGGGGATGAGATGATTTGTTTTTCTTGTCAAAATAGCATGCTGTAGTTCCCTTTCCTTCGTTGTTGTGCGATAGACCTGAGTGATGAATAGCCGAGAGCTGCGAAAAGCTTGCGAGTGTGAATTGCAGAAGAATAGCTTCAGTTGCAGAAAGCCTTCGATGCTTGCATGGAAATGTTTTCAAAAAATTGAATTTTTACCCCTCAAGTTCCCCGTAATTCTGTTATGCCCTAGAAACTTTGGAAAATTAGTCAATCTTGTCCCTTTAAAGTTTTAACTTTCTTAATGTGTTTTAATATGATTGTTTGGGTAGGTTATTCATAATTTTGGGATGAAATTGGGAGGTTTAATGATTTTTGATAGATTTATAGTTTTGATTTGGGTTTTTAGTAAAAGAATTGGGAAT